CCATGGTGCCCCCTTCCCAGCCGTGCGGCCGTATCGACCCTCCCGCCAGCCCCTCAGCCTGTGCGCTCCTGCAGGGCCCCCTCCTGTAGTGCCCCCCCGCCCCGTTGTTCCCCTGTCCCCAGGTAAAGCTGTCCCGGAGCGGGATGGGGACAGAGGGCGTGGGGCTCGGCGGGAGCCGGGGTCCTCCGCGGGGGCGGCTCGGGGAATTCGCGGCTGAACCGGCCTGTCCCAGCCCCCATGCTTCCGGGATTCAGTCTTCCCTCTGCCCAGCTAAAATGCAACAGCGATGCAGAATAAACCCCTCAAAAGAGCACTTATGGCTGCCAACCTCCTCCCTGTAGTTTTTTTGGAAAAAAGACTACAGGCTAAGACAAGGGATGTAAAAAGTGACGTATTCGGGTATCCTTGGAAACTGAACAAGATTTAACCTGAAGAATGAATCTTATGAAAACTTAGTAACAATGATGACCGTGTGTCTCATATTTATGATATTGGAAAAAATTGCAGAAATACTTGTATTAGTGCAATCAGAATTTTAATTCCAATTGATGAAAGTCCCTTTTTGCCTGAAAAGAACGCCTGATGCTTTGTTTCGTTACTTATATATACAAACAGCCATGAGATACAGTACAGTGTAATTCTGAACGTTACCTGATTGTTCAGGGGAGAATGTTCAAGGGCTATTTCTGTATTGGGTGCAGCTTATTCTGCAAAATTTTATGCATGTCAACTGATAAAAAGTTGGTAGTAAATGTTTAGAGAATGCCTATCTGGAGGATTCATTTGAAAGCACTGAATGATTTTGGGTATTATCAGCATTGTGCTACTGTGCCATACTGGTCAAGATGTTTGTTAAAGGGAAAAAAAAGATTTTGCTGTTTGAGTTTTTATTCAGACTGTTGAATTTCGGTTCATCTTGGACCACAGGTCTGTTGCATAGCTATACAGTTAGTTATACAATCTGCATAATAATGGCATATAATACAACCTGTTGTGCTCTGTTCCTCTCTCACTGTTTTACTTCACCATAGTCTTTCTTGTAGTAGTACCAAAACAGTGTGTTAGTGGCTATTTGGAATGTATTTCCACTTTGTGTGTTTGAGTATTTGAGTTAAACACAGAAGGGGTCCTTCTAATTATTCTTAATGCGTCTGTTTAAAGTTCTCAATGCACCGGTTACAAGAGTAAAGTCAACTGAAGCAGCAGCGGTTCTTCCTCCCGGTCATGTATTTAGGTGTTCATGTGACCTACCCAATTTAGGACTGACTGTTGCACTTAGTAGATAGAAATCTCTCTCAGCCTGAAGTTAGTAGCTCTGTTTAGGCTAGTTAGTAGAGATTTTAATGGAAAGTATTTTGGACCTTGGGAATGCTCCGGGTCTGTTATTTTTGAAACTGCTGCATGTTCATGTTTCTTGTACGGTGCTTAGATGACACCAGTTTTCAGGGGCCTCTCTTAATCTAGGGTTAAATCTTTAATGGAAACCTTTTCTACGGTAGAAGCAGATTGTTACCAGCTAGCTCCCCGAGTTAAAAATGAAAGCACTTTTTTTGTTGGTTAATTAATTGTTTGCACTGAGGCTTCTGGTGATCCTCCTGTTTCCTGTTAAGTCAGCCCTCTAAGTGATGAAGATACATTATGTAAAGTTTCTAGGGTAAAACTCTCACAGACTTCATGAAATATTTTGTGGTTCTATGTTGTATTCAGTGCATCATCCAGTTGGTAGTAAGAGAGAAGTATTCTTACTATATCAAAATTTAATAATTGACAAGGTCAAGATTTTTATAACTGGGAACATTATGCAGAAGCAAGTTTGGATATGATACTCGTCCTTTCTACCCATCTAGCTCCACCAGCACAGAATAATATTTCAGTGAAACTACAGCATATTCTTTTCCCCTGTAAGTTGCGAGGAAGAGAAAGGGTGTTGGGATGCATGTGTCTTAAGGTGTTTGTTTTTCATCAGCTTTTGGCAGTCTCCTGTTCGTTATTTCTAATATTTTGGGGCCCTCAATGTCCGACAGAAACACTGTGATGAGGAGTGAGGGGGCAGGGAAACTGTGTTTTGTCTTGAAAGGTAAGGTGTAGGGTATGATTTTATAGGGCTGTGGTTGCAGTAGCTTTACATGTCAGTTCATTTACTTCTTTAACTCAGAGTGTGTTATTCAAAAATACTTATTTCTGAATAAAGGTGATTTGTATGCCACCATAAGTTTTCTTCTTCTGGGGAAATCTGAGTAACAACAGAACTGGCATTAAAGCAGTCTGCCTTGAGGCTTAGAGAGATAACATTGCATTACGTTTTACTTGGAAAATGTGCAGTTAAAAGGGATTCTGATAATATTGAGTTGTTCTAGTTTGTCCAGGAGAAACTTCATACTTACCTGAGGTAGACAGACAACTTCTTCCCAGTAGCACATATCTGTGTAATTTATTTCTAGGGGAAGTGAGGAAGACATCTGAAATGGCCTACTGTCAATTTTGTTTTCATCTAAGGAGTATTATTTTGTCACTGCAATAACAAGGATTGAGCCTGATATTAGCACTGTCAGTCTCTCTTACTTGAGTGTATGTTATATAGTAATATAATGGAGGTGTGAATATATGTGTATATATGACCTGCTCATGGTATTTTGGTGTAACAGTCCTCTCCTAACGTTGCTTTCTGAGATGAGCTGATTACCTATATGATTGAAGAAGCTATAAATGAACAGAACATTTCTGATGCTACCTATTTGCAACATAATCATTTGGCCTTGCAAAGCTGAACTCATGCATTCATAAAATCATTAAATTGTCAAACAACTTCATTATACACTTAGTACTGTTCACCTTTGCAGAGAATTATGCCTTTGGGCCGAAACTTGAAAAGGTAATCTCTTGACTTCAGAAAATATTCCTCCCATTTGCATGGTTGTGCTTAAAGTTAGAGAGTAAATTGGCATATATCTTTATCAGTAACAGTTCTGATTTTTAAGTGTAATGTTGCTTGACAGGCTTTTACATATTTAGTCCCATTTTGGTCTGGTTTTGCTACTTGACCCTGAATAGTTCAGATTCATTATTATTTCATTTTAATGTATTTATAGTAGGCTGATACTTAAAGCCCGTTAAGTATGGGATTAAGACTCTGTTCTGTTACATTGTATACAGACATGCACTTTGGCAGTTCAGATTATTCAGTGTTTTTCAAAAATTTTTTTATAATTTAATGCATCTCAAAAAATATTTTTTTTATTTGCAGGAGGTGTGCATAAAAAGGCATACTTCAAAGACTGAATTAGGAAAAAAAAATCCACTAAACGTTTCTCCTGCGATTCTCTTCTTTAAAAAGATGTTTTGCCAATATCATGGGTTTTGCCAACTGTGTTTTTTTTTTTTTTTTTTTTTTTGTATATATACACATAGCAATGTAGCAGTTGTAGTTGTGGAAATCGGCTTTGAGCTTCCCATTTGAAGACAGAAATGAATCTCATAAACTATAAAAGTCAGACACTTTTTGTTACAGTTTCTTAAATTTCTTTCATTTATGATCAATACAGTAGTTCTTTATTAACTATCTAAGAGCATACCATGCAGTGGTGGCTGCATGGTTTGATTTGGTTGTTTAATTTTTGTCTTTTCCTAGGTATGTGGCTAAGTGTAATTAAACCTGCATTTCCAAATGAACTCCTGACAATTCATCTAGAAGTGAAAACAAACAAAGAAAACCCAAGATGCAAGGGACAGAAATTTACAGTTGGGAATTTTACATTTAGAAATCACATTTAATTTTTAAAAGTGTCTTGTCAAGTTACAAAATTTAATTGTGCATTTAAAGCAAGATCTCTGTGAAAGATTAAACTTCATTCTCTTTCAGTACTTTCTTTCAGTGCTTTCAACGTGGGTACTATTTGTAGAGATAAATATGAGGATGAGACAAATCTTCAACTTAGATTTTGTCTGGTCTTATCTCTTTAGTTTCATCATGGATATCAGGTTCTGCTTTGAGTGAAATAATGATTAATGCAGTCACTTCATTTTGAAATAATTATTTTTAAGAAGTAGCATGCTCATCTTGTAGTGTGTACGTTTGTTCAGTTTGATATATCTTTGCTAAAAAAGTAAATAAAGAAGCTGATACTTATAAAATGTTTAAAATTTGAATTCCAGAAAAATGATCCCCCATTTCAACTCAAACTTCCTCCAAAGGCAGCTAGACCTGAAAAAGAAGTTGACCCAGAATATGAAGAGAAGATGGTAAGTGTTTTCACAACAAAACATACTGCAGCTTTTTATGATGTTTGTTTGCTTGAACTACATCAACACAGTTACAAGGAGTTGTTGCAGACTGGATGTGTCAGAAAAGAAAAACAAATCAGTATGCATTTAAATGTCTAGTCCAGTGTGGTGTTTCTCACAGTGGCTAACAGGAGATACTTAGTGAAGAATATGAGAGCAGAGGAAACAGATAGTGATAGTTCTGTTAAATACTGGCCCAGTCTTCCAAGTATTTTTGTCTGCATGGTTTCTGGAGTTGGAGGCTGTGTTTTTTATGCTCAGTAGTTGTCAGTGGATTTTTGGTGGTAGTGGTTCCCCCCGCCCGAATTTATTTACTTGCTTTTTTTCCCCTCATTTAGGTTTAGTTATCCACACCATGCTGTGGTAAGGAGCTTCTATTCAGTTGCATTTTATATTTAGAACTCTCCCCTTTTGATTTTGAAACTGTCTCTGCTAGTTTTGTTTGATAACCCCTTGAGTCATGTCAGAGGCATCCTTAAGCTGCTGCTTAAATGAGAGAAATACTGAAGCTGCCAGTTTCTCATCATATAGAAACATAAAGGTTTTAAATGTTGATATGTCTCATAATATATGTTCCATAACAATGCAAAAGAGGATTTGGCCATGACACCAATGGAGGGAGCTTGTAGTGCTGCAGACTAGAGATAATAGGGTAACTTCTGTTTTACAAAGAGGCAGAAACCAGGAGGACATCACAAGACTTGTTCTTGAACGATACATGTAGTAAGTTCTTGGTTAAAGCTGGTATCTGTATCTTGCTGCATTTTTCTTAAAAGCTTTAATGTTAAATGGATGCCTCATAATTACGGTAGAGTCTGAAAGGATTGGATAGCATAGAAACCAGGTAAGAGTACCACTGTTGGATGTAGAAAAATTGGTACCTACTTGTATGAATACATAATTTTTAGCCAGAGGAGACACACAAGTAAATCTGTTCATTGAGAATGAGTTGAGTAAATAACTAAACTTGGTTTCATGGTAATACATGATGAATTTACATCTTTTCTAAATTAGAATCTTCATTCAGTTTTTCTAAGAGGCAAAGGGAATAGATCTCAAAAAATATCTACCTTTCATCAGTTGTGCAGTTGTGAGCTAGACCTTTAGTATTTATCAAGGCATGCTGCTTACACCCAGCCAGTATTCTTGCAGGTAAAAAAGTATATTGGGGCATTCAATATAGAACCTTATCAGTTATGGTTAGCTTGCCAAAACCATCGTGTGTTATTAGTTTAATAGAAATCCTATGAATGGATTTGTTCTTACCCTGTCTGAACAAAAACATCCGCGTCTTTACTCCCTCTTTTAGAATTCTTTTTTCCCAGAAGTTTTACTTGGTATTTACAGTTTCTGGTTTTCAAATTATTTACACAGATGATCCAATAATGAGTGCAAGGGAAAAATAATAGTAATTTTTTTCCAGGAGATATTTGTAAAGATGTTTACTTGCTGGCAAGTGGTGCACTATTAAAGGAAAGGCACTGCCCTCCTGTGGCAAGATCATGCGTTGCATGTCAGGTTCTTTTTTTTTTTTTCCCCTTTTTTTGGTTTGTGGTGTTCCTGTTAGAACACTTTTACTTGCATGTAAGTTACCTGCAGAAAAGCTTTCTGTTCTTTGTATATTTCTTAGAAAGATTGTGGCATAGAACTACAATTTCACTTTTCTAGTTTATAGCAAGATATATAAATGAGATCACATGAAGATTGCTTTAAGTGGTACAGTGTTACATGATGCTTGGAAATGGCATACAGAAATTGATGATAATTGCATTCTGTCAGATAGCATTTGCATTTTATAATATTTTTCTTTAAAAATATGTAACATTTTGTCTTCTAAATATAGAAAAGGAGATATGTTTTGCTGTGTTTATATAGTAAAGTGCATATGCGTCATTGATGTGGTAAAACTGAAAAGTTTGAAATTTGAAATCTGACAGAAAAATCCACAAACTTCAGTGAAAGCAGTATTGAGCTGGTGCATCCGTTACTTTAGTCATACTTCTAAAAGCAGAGCTACCACATTGTTGTCTTGGACCAAATCATGATAGCCTTGAAGCTGATGGAAGTTTTGCCACTGACTTGAGTGAGGTTAGGATTTTATCCCTTACTGTAAGTCAGAACCTTAGTTTTTTTCTTTACCTTTTGTAGATGGTCCTTTAAAGCATCCCTTCACAGTTGCTAGTGTGCCATGCAGACTGAAGTAATCTATACAAGTAAACTGTTTTTGGATTGTTTTACTAATCTTTGAGTTTTCGGTGGAGCTGAGTTGCTGGGATGGGGTTATCAAGTCCTGCTATGTCCTCCAGATTGCTGTGGTATTCATGAAGGATCATTTGCAACTGCCACACGTTACAATTTGGTGCTTTAAAGCAGTTCATGCTTAGCTGTAAGCGGAAGCAGCTCAAGAGCTATTTCGTGATGCTTGTAGCTCTCTGAGTTGACCAACAGTAAGCAGATGGTCTTGCCAGTCTTTCCTCATATAAGTTGTTCTCAAGAATGTCTGAATTCTGTTTCTTAATAAAAAAATATTTTTTTAATGAAGAAAAGCTACTGATTTCTTTTTTAATTCTCTCTCCACTTTGGAAACTAGAAAGCAGATCGAGCAAAAAGGTTTGAATTCCTCCTGAAGCAGACAGAACTTTTTGCACATTTTATTCAGCCTGCAGCACAAAAATCACCAACATCTCCATTGAAAGTCAAGCTGGGACGGCCACGGATGAAGAAAGATGAAAAACAGAGTTTGATTTCAGCTGGGGAGTATGTTTTATTTTTATTTCCAACTTCTTACACTTTCAAACAAATTATGCATTTTAACATATCTAGTTAGTAGCATGGAGTCTGAACTATTAGTTCAGAACTATTCCTATTAATGGTGTATCATAATTTCTTTAAAAGCTGGTTGATGTATGCATGCTGATCCAATGACGTTAGTATGACCTTGGATCAGGACTGCACTTTTAAAGTGAATTCCCTGATTCTTGCCACTTACCATGCTTTGGTCCATATTGCGGAGTGATTTTTGGAGCACATGGATTGAATTTCTTTTACATGAGGCTGAACTAGAAGATGCAGTCCAGAAATGCACCTGATGTGGATATGTCAGTGGGACCAGAGTGGAGCCTAGACCAAGTTAAAGCAAGACAACATGCATGTAGTGTGGATGTTGGATCCTCAGCACCAATTGTCTCGCTCCACCAGTCTGTCTGTATTAGTCAGTAATGCAGACATAGCCTGCGTGTAGTGTTTCTGAGGGGTCTTGTAGTAGCAAGCGACTAGTTTTTATAACATTTACAAAATGGCATTTTCTATTTTATAAATTTTTTAAATTTAATGTATGATTCTTCTGAATGGTATAGTTATCAGGTAATTGATTCTAAGGCCACCACTAATGTGTGTATTGTATTTCTGTGTTGCTAATTAAAAATTACTTTTGAGAACTCATGATACTTGTTGTCAAAGTACAGTTACGACTGGAGGAGAAGGCTTCATATCAGCCTTTATAATTAAAGGTGGAATGAACTGTGAGGAACAACTTACTAACAGGATATGATTTTGGTCAGGGTACTAGACACACATTGTAGATCAATGATTGATTCTGTTATCATTTGTCTCTTTTGATTTTATAGTCAGTGCTTTGAAATTCTTTCATATAAACATAAGTCTTGGATTCTTTCTTTAGTTATCGTCACAGGCGCACAGAACAAGAAGAAGATGAAGAGCTATTGTCAGAGAGTCGAAAAACATCTAATGTGTGTATTCGATTCGAGGAGTCTCCTTCATGTAAGTATTGTATTGACAGTTTTCTGATTGCTTTGATGTAGTTAAAATCTGAGCAGATCGCAATTAAAATTTTCTATTTAGAATTAGTATTTTTCTACTTAGAGGAATCTTACATTTACAGATGTGAAAGGAGGAACACTAAGAGATTATCAGGTTAGAGGTTTGAACTGGATGATCTCATTGTATGAAAATGGTGTTAATGGCATTCTGGCAGATGAAATGGTAAGCAGTAATCTTTTGGAATTTTTGTGGTAATTATTGAGCAAAATTCAACATTAAAGTGCCTATATAATATATATGCAGTAGTATGCATCATTCTACAAGTTAGATTTTTCACAGCTGGAATTGTAATGCAATGAAAGAAATTGTATTGCAAACATTTACTGTGCAGTTTGCTATAAACAACTTAAGTGGCAGAATTATATAGCAGGAAAATAGTTTGCAACTATTTCTGTATGGTATTTCATTTCAACACGTTTCTCCCCTCCCCCCCTTTCTCAATGCAGGGTCTTGGTAAGACTCTGCAAACAATAGCATTATTAGGGTATCTGAAGCATTACCGAAACATTCCTGGGCCACACATGGTCCTAGTTCCAAAATCAACTTTGCACAATTGGATGAATGAATTCAAACGCTGGGTTCCATCATTACGTGCTGTTTGCCTTATTGGGGATAAAGATGCCAGGGTAAGTGCTCTACTTTACTGAAGATGTACATATTATTTGTCAAAAACTAGCATTTGGGTATGTGGAATTCTATCTAAGCTAGTTCCTTAATTACAGTATTTTAGTAATCTTTATATTAACATTGAAAATGCAAAATGTTATGCTTGTAACTATGAGGACAAAATACAAATCAGTAGGTGAAATAATAGACTGGATTCAAAGTATAGCTGTCTGACTTGTTTTTCTGTTGTCTTCCTCTCATTTTTGCACCTATTTTTTTTTCTCTTCTATATTTGCATTGTGACAGTGTTTATTCATTTTCCTTTATTGACCTCACTTTGTTACCTCTTTTTTCACCTTTTTTAGGTGACTTCTCCCACTTTTTACTTGTGTCTTATGTCTGTGCCTTGCCTTGTAATTAGGACTCTGTTGTAGAGCTTTTCATCTTTAATAGTGAGGGCCTTAAAATAGATGTAGGGTGATTTTCTAACTTGAAGGGGATCAATGAGCTGGATGTTCCTGTGAATTGTATGGCTCCTTGTATGGATGGCATGGCTGCCTGTTACTTTTTGAGGGTAGGAAGGCTCTGCAGAGGGA